AGAAACGAGATTGTTGCTTTTCTGCAGTACGGAACCGTACCTGATGACAAAAGGAAGGCACACACGCTCCGAAAAAAGGCTGCTCGTTACTGTTTATATCAAGGAAACCTTTATCGAAAGATGTTCGGTGGACCATTAGCAAGGTGTCTTGGACCTTCCCAAACAGAATACGTAATGAGGGAAATACATGAAGGACATTGTGGAAATCATGCGGGAGGAAGGTCGCTGGTAAAAACATTGATTCGAGCTGGGTATTATTGGCCTAAGATGGAAGAGGAAGCAAACAGTTTTGTGTCTAAATGTGATAAATGTCAAAGGTACGGAAATAATATGCATAGACCAGCTGAGTTACTGCATCCTGTCATAGCTCCGTGGCCCTTTATGAAATGGGGAATGGATATCGTAGGTCCATTACCACAAGCAAAAGGTCAGGTGAAGTTTCTACTTGTACTTACTGATTATTTCACTAAATGGGTAGAAGCAGGAGCATTTAAACAGGTACGAGAAAAGGAGGTCAAAGACTTCATTTGGCGTAATATTATATGCCGATTTGGTGTACCAAAGGAGATTGTTTGCGACAATGGCCCTCAATTTATCGGAGCTCAAGTCACTGAGTTTTTTGAGAGCTGGCAAATTAAAAGAATCACATCTACACCTTATCACCCAGTAGGCAATGGGCAAGTAGAATCAACGAACAAGGTCATTATCAACAACTTGAAGAAAAGGTTACAAGATTCAAAAGGTAATTGGCCTGAGGTATTACCTGGAGTATTATGGGCTTATCGTACAACGACAAAAACAAGCACGGGAGAAACACCATTTTCAATGGTTTATGGTGCAGAAGCCTTAATCCCAGTTGAAATAGGAGAACCGAGCACACGATATGCTCAGGCAACGGAAGAATCAAATGATGAAGATATGCGGGTAAACCTTTATTTGCTCGAAGGAAGAAGAGAAGCCGCATTAATAAGGATGGAAGCACAAAAGCAAGTGATCGAACGATATTACAACAGGAAAGCACGACTGCGATACTTCAAAACTGGGGACTTCGTGCTTAAAAGGGTTTTTCAATCTACAAAGGCAGCCAACGCGGGTAAACTAAGTCCAACCTGGGAAGGACCCTACAAAGTTCGGGACATTGCAGGAAAAGGAGCATACATGAGTTAGAAACAATGGACGGGAAGGTGCTTCCCTCACATTGGAATGCAGTTCATTTGAAGAGATACTACTTCTAAGGAAAAACCCACGGTCAGGTATCACCATGTTAAATTATTTATTTTTTGAATTGTTAAAATTTTACTAACGATTTTAGATGATAGGCAAAACGCTAACCTATACTAAATGATGAGTCACGACCTGTAAGGCGCAAGGGAATAAACTAAAATTCCTAGCCCAGGGTTACAATTATTCTGATAGAAGTATATACGGGTTAAGCAGTCTTCATCTATAATCGCACCCCCGAGTCCCGTATGTATTTCCTTTTCAGGAAAAGGACCAGGTGAAGGAGACTACCAAGTGCTCGAGGCTTCATACTTCACCGCTCAAACACTTGGGGGACTGCATATTGTACACAGATACGTGCGGGAAAACAGATATGTAAACGAAAGTCGAAAAATAAAGAGACAAGTGTCGAGCAGAAGTTACGGAACCTCAGCATTCATCATTGTAACATTCATCATAGTGCTCAAACTCATGAGAACAATGGAGTCACCTCTCAAACCCTTCCTAGTACATGAAGATAGGGTCATGACTATATACTGAAAAACCTTGTTTGAATTATATTTATTTTGCAAAAATCTGTTACAAGAAAAATAGTTACGAGAAAGTTATAGATGTATTTTAATACATGTAATATTCAAAAGCTTGTTAAAGTTCATGAATAAAAACTTGTCAAAGTGATTCCAAACGAAACATGTGTGTTCCTATTTATTTCATCGTATTGTAACACCATTATGAAGATGAGACGTCTTCTTCATTAAGTGTCGATATATATAAAAGGGCACTTTTTTATAAGCCTCATGTTAATAAGTCATGAGAAGGATCATAAAGCATTTTCAAAGTTTAAAAATGCTAAACTATTCTATAAGTCCTAAATAGATAAGAAAAAGGCAAGAATAGAACATATTGAAGTACTAATAAACTTCTTTATATAGTTAAAAAGACTAAATAAAAACTTAGTCAACAAAAAGAAATTTTTACAAGTGCCCCATTATGATAACTGGGGACTTTTTCTAAAAAATCCCTAAAAACTGACTAAGGGATAAACCCACCAATCAACAAAGCAAATAAAAATAAAGTTTGAAAACATGAACTGGTCACTGAGGGGCTGGAACATCAGAAGTTGTGATATCAGCTTCACTTTCAGGAACGGTAACTTCTGAAGAAACAGCAACAGAAGCGGTTTCAGCTGGGATTGAAATGTTAGATTCATCGAGGGGAGCAAGAGTCACGGAAGCTTCAGCTTCCTCAAACTGATTCATAGAAGTTTCACCCACGGGAGCTGGAATTACAACATTTTCAACTTCAATTGCCACAGCAGCGGCTTCTTCATTTAAAGGTTCTTCAGCCATGGGAGCTTCATCTGCCGGAGAAGGAAAGTCAAGTGGTTGTTGGGTCATCTCAATGGTTTTCAAAACCTTGGCCAATTCCGATTCTAAATCAAAGTTTTCTTGACTGGCCTCAGTTAAAGCATCACGACGAGAGTTTAGAAAAGCCCAACTCACCTCTATGTTAAATTTCTCCTCAAGAAGTTCATAATCCCTTTCCCACATAGCAAGATCATTCTTTAACACTTGATTTTCAGCTAAAGTGGAATCAAGGGTAGCTTCAAGGGAGGAATGAGAACTCTCTAATGCATGAACCTTATCAGAAGAGATCTTCAAATCAGCTTGAGCTTGAGTCAAGTTTTGTACTAACTCTCCTGCATACTCTTCTTTCTTGTTCAAGAGTGCCTTAAGTTCTCTGATTTCTTCACTTGACTTTGATAATTTCTCTGAAAAGGAACACTCAAGGCGCTCCTTGTCCTTCTCGGCTTTACTAGAAGAAGCCTTGGCTTTCGCTAATTCCGAAGTCAGAGTCCGCTTTTGCTGCTCCAGGTTACGGTTGCTTTCTTGCAATTCTTTTATCGTTTCTTGAGCATTTTTAAACTGTTCCTTCCAATTAGTTGTTTCCAGCTGGGCTTCCTTAGCTGCTCTCTCAGCCTCGAGAATAGTCTTATCAGACTCACGAGCCTTCTTTTCTAAAAGGGAAATTCTTCCCATCAATTTCGTGCCAATAAGGTTGGCCTACAAAGACAACTCAAAAAGATAAGAATTTAGAGATAAAAAAAACTTATTAGAAAGTAAAGGAAGAACACCTTCAACGTAGAATGAACTATGTCATTCATCAAAGTTAAGCAACTGTGACTGTCCATCTTCTTCTTCTCAATGTCTCCAATTAAGGGTTTAAGCCAGACATCTACTCCACCAGACTTCCTTAAAAGACTGTTATTAGCAGGAACTTCAAGTGTTACACTCCTCATAGCCAAACTTTTGCTACTGGAACCCTCCTCTGCATACTGAACAGAGGAAGGGGGAGCTATAGAAGGAGGAGCGGTGGAAGAGGTAAAAATAACAGGAGTCGAGGGAGTCGAAGCAGTTAAGGGAGCAGAAATTGGCAAAGAAGCAGGAACAGATAAAATGGGCAAAGATGTACTTGGAACCAAAGGAGGAATAGGAATGGAAGAGGAAAGAGGAACCTCATCTAAAACTGGACCAAGTTCACCACTTTCGAAACCGTCAGTGAAGAGACGTTGAGTGGATTCAATGGTGTCCCCGGGAGTGGTTTCATCATCGGAAACAATATTAACAGGAGAGGAGGCACGGGTAGGAGAAATTTCAGCTTCATCTTCGGAAATGATGCGTCTCCTGGCTCTAGGTCTAACTACCAAAGAGGTGTCTTCATCTTCATCATCCTCAGAATCCTCTTCAACAACTTTCCTCTTTGACAGCATAGCTTGTGCTCTCTCCAAAGAAAGAGGAGTACCAAAAGAAGCTCGAAGGGCAATAGCTACTTCAGCTGACATTCCTCGAATAGCAAATCCTGACAAAAAGAAGGATAAAAAAGTTAAAAGAGGGGAAAGAATTTAACATACGGGAAACAATAAGGGACACATACCGTGAGTTTTCACTTTCCAACCATGTTTGTTGGAAATAGATTTCCAGGTTCGTGCCTTCATAGGCACGGCCTTCAAAATAGCATCTACCCAACCACAAAAATTAGGAACGGGTTCCACATCTCCCATGGTTACTACAAAAAAGCAAAAAAGAATGAAATTAGAAAAGGAGTTGAAATAAAACAGATACGGTAAGAAAGAAATACTTACGTGCAAGGTTCCATTTCTCAGGAAAAGGAATATTTGATTCACCCACCAAATCAAATGTGGGTACCGCAACATAACGGGTGTACCAACCTCGATCTTTATCATCTTCAGGGCTTACCAAAACCCTTTAACTTCTTGCAGTTAGGGTAAAAACACCATTGCGGAACAGCTTGGGGTGATAAAGATGAATTAGATGAGAGAAGGTAAAATCAACATCAGCCTTTACCGATACATACCTTAAACAAGCTACTGCTCTCCATACGAGAGGGCCAATTTGAGCCAAACAAATTTTGAAAAAACGACAAAAATCGAGTATGACAGAGTCGATAGCAGGAATAAATCCCAAAGTAAAGGGATAAGTATAAACAGAGGAAAAACCAATCCTATAAGAAGATATTCTCTGGTTTGGGTTAGGAATAACTATATGAAGGTCATCTCTCCAACGACAATCTTTTCGAACAGTGGAAATTAAGGGTTCAGTAATTAAAGAAGGATAGGTGTCAGCTCTCTCTAATTTAATTACTTGGTCACGAAGGGATTCTTTATCATGCTCGAAAGATAAGTCGGTTGGCACTATTTCTTCGACCAAAGGTTCTTGAACAGACTCAGAAGATTCTTTGCCTTTAGAAGAAGATCTATTAGTGAAAGAACCTCTAGAAATAGTGCCAGAGCTAGAAGAAGGAGTGATGGAACCAGAGGTACCACCACGAATGGATCCTAGGCCACGAAGCCTACCTCCTCTGCCTCTTCTATGTCTCACAGGGGCATTGGGGAAACTGTCAAGAATTGGGACTCTCCTAGGGTTGGGATTTGAAGATGACATGGTAGAAAGATGTGAACAGAGAAAGATGTGAATAGAAGTAACTAGTGAAATATTAGGTAAAAATTTGTAGAAGAAGGGTGAAGTTTATACATAAAAGTGACCGTCAAAGACTAAGAAGTAATGATGGAAAGCCTATAATAAAGGCAACTATCACTTCGTGAATAGTGGAGTTGAAGAAGCCTTGAAAAAAGGCTGCAGAATTACAGAGCTAATGAGAAGGTGACATGTATGTAATGCATTAAATAGAAAAGACAACTGAAACGTTAGTACTGTCATAGCATTAATTATGGCAAAAATTCCCTTTTTAATGGAGATCCACTTCCCAAATATTTAATTGATAAATAAATGGAAAGTGGGGGGACTATCTGTATTGGGAAAAAACTGAATTTAAATATTGAAGATGACGTGTCATGACACGTGGACCGATCAAATAGTCAAAGTATGGTAATCAGTTAGAAGGCACGAGCAACAACAGATACGGGAGAGAAGATACTTAAAGGCACGAGCTATTACTCAGATGAAACGAAACTCGTACCTGTTCGAGTCATTTAAAGCTCGAAGAACAGAAGGAATTGAAGATATGAATCTGACAGCGTAAAAGAGTCCAAATTCAACATTAAATGCCACATACGTTAGAGAATTTGTATTTAATAAGAATGATTGAGTAACGTTTCTTTTAATGTCATTTATTGCTCATAATTGCCTCATTAAGACAAAGGCATTACACTTTCTCTTAGAATTAACTATAAAAGGAGAAAGTCACAACATCTGTAGGACACGAAATATCATTGCGATTATACTGAAATATATACTTATTCATTGCTTTATTGTTGTTCTCAAAATCTCTCATTTCTTGATTATCAGTAACCCGATTTCTTTCTTAAATTCAAGTTTTAGCCAAATATTCAGTTTTTTGGTTAAACAAAGGTCTAGATGAAGTCAAAGGAAAAGTGTTTTATTTTGTTTAGACACAGATATTAAAATAACGATTGACAATTGACATTTCTATTATTTTAAAATTGGGATGAGTAGCGCCGGGTCTATGCAATGTCTATCGTTTTCTTTTGCATCTGCTTTCTCATTTTCATGATGTTATTTTTCTTATGTTTTCTATTGGTGGTATTGATATTGTCTCTTTTCGTCTTCTTGAGCCGAAGGTATTTCGAAAACAACCTCTCTACTTCTTCGGGAGGGGTAAGGTCTGCGTTTACCTTTCCCAGATCCTACTAATGAAATTCTACTGGGTCGTTGTTATTGCTGTTGTAAAATTGGGATGAGGTTGAAAATTGGGATGAGGTTGAAAGTTGACATAAATTTGGTAACAATTTAGTTTAAACGTACAATTCTACCCTTAATGAGAACCTTTTATAACCACACAAATACTCTGGGTCCTTTTTTGACTTGTTTAGGACCATAAATTCCAAAAGTCTTCATTTTTTTTTAAACTTCGTGCCCAATCAAACAGATTCGCATAAATCGGAACGGATGAAGTATGAACTTTCGGACCTGCATTCTCATGATTGTTTGAATGATTAGCATTTAGGAGGTAAGATGGAAAGTTTCTGAATGGTGGAAGACTTCTATATTTGTAAATATTTACTATCATAACTAAATGATATACACTTTTATTTTAATCTATAATTATTGAGAATAAAATTACTTAGATTGGAAAGTCATTCTGTAATAAGATTTGGGTGTAATTACACAGTTTTAGCATGTTTGTCTGACCAAGTAATTACTTTGTCACCATGTAATTGAGTGTAATTGAGGGGCTGTAATTACACTCTCCAATTTTCAAGGGGGCTGAGAATTGCTGTTAATTACATAATGTAATTACAAGGTTATTTTTTGAATCTCTTTTCCTTTTAATTTACTATTTTTCTATTCTTTTATTTAATTTAATTTTTTATTTTAACTTTTTAAGTTCTTTTATTTTAAAATATTATTCTTTTTACACTATTTAATTATATTTGCTTATTTCTTATTTTCCAATCTTTACTTCACGTGTTTCTAGATGATTTCTCATATTTTATTTATTTCTTAATTATCTTTTATTTTTTATTACACTTAGCTAAGTTATTATTCAAATTTTTCTAAAATGTTGTACCTCATATGTTTAGAAAGAATAAGTCAACCACAAACTTGACTTATGATGAATGATGTCATTAAAGTTGAAATTGTTATTGGATTAGGTTATATGCAGACTTAACTATGTTAAAATAATGGATTACTTTAATATTTAAATGATATTCTCATTGTCCAATCTTTATTTTTGTGATTCCATGTAGTTGGTCATAATTTTTATTTTTTATTTACTTCATTTGGCATAATTGTTTTATTCTAGTTTTGAAACTATTTCTCTTAATATTAGAAATAATGAATTACTAATAAACTTAGCATATAATGAGTGATGTCATTAAAGTAGAATCTCATTATTGAATGAGGTTATAGACTTATGTTTTTCTTTTCTTTTGAATTATATTTACTTAAATTATGTTGAAACTTATTTTATGTTATGATGTAATTTTACATGAGAATATTTTGTTAAATTTTTTTTCTGAATTTTGAATTTATGTTATATTTTCACTTCCACTTTATTTGTTTTAGTATTATTTACTTATTAATTCATATTGCACGACATTCATTTTTCAGTTAGAATTGATAGATTATTTTTTCGTGAAATATTGAATAATGTTATGGTATTATATTAATAAATATTAATTATTTTATCACGCATGCAGTACATGATGTTCTTACAAAATATACACTTTTTATTTTTATTATTTAAGGTAAAATATTATCAATTTAAAAAAAATATCTCAATTATTTTTACAATATTAGTTACAAATACATGATTAGTAATTAATATATTTTTAAGAAACAATATCTATTTTAAATGTCCAATTTAATATTAATTTTAAAGGCATATATTTGTTACATCATAACTTTTAATTTCATAATCAACTTTACATTTAAATTTAATCTAACTGTGTAATTATGCTTGTGCAACCAAATAGTACACTTGTAATTATATTGTAACTATATTATGATAAACAAACAGGTCATAGTAATCAATACAATATAATTACAAGGCTATGTAATTACTACCATAATAATTATACCAATTCCAATTACCTGGTGGCTTTCCAAACAGACCCTTAATTTGATGTAGAGATCAAGTGCGAGTAATTGTTTTCCTCGATATCCGATTTTACAAAGTCTTCAACTTAACATTAATTAATGCAATTACCGATACAGGAGGCATCACTTTTAGGTATTATGTTGCGTTGGAGACCTGTATTCCTTCATATAATTCCCTTTTGAAAACAACTCAAATTTTATAAGATTTTGACCGGTGATTAGAAAGGTATACAAGTATAAAAATATATCTCACATTCATGCACAACCTACACACGAAACCATAATGACAAATTAATGTCCACCACCCTCAATTCCTAAACCTATATATATACATCATCATTTTCTTATCCCCCTTGCCACTACTCCAAGTGTACACCACAATCACAAAAACAACTCCAATATATATATTTCCCTTACTAGAAAAGATGCAGGGAATATCATTAGAGTTTGATCAGCAAAATTTTCTTGACCCCATGCAACATGATCTCTTCAATGATCCTGACTTTTCCCAAATCTTTTCAGAACTAAACTCATTCAATAACACCATCCAAACACCTAGAAACCCAAGTTCAGAGAACACCATATTTGCACAAAACATGGTTCAACACAATCAAGAAAAATATGCAGATGATCATATCGTCCCATTGCAAGAGACTTCGTCAGAAAATAATAAGGAGCTATCTTCAGATCAGGTGCCTTTGGAAAAGAAAAAATACAAAGGAGTGAGGAGGAAGCCATGGGGAAAATATGCTGCAGAAATAAGGGATCCTGAAAGAAAAGGCGCTAGACTTTGGCTTGGGACATATGAAACTCCTGAGGATGCAGCATTGGCTTATGACAGAACTGCATTTAAACTGCGTGGTTCAAGAGCTGTACTCAATTTCCCTCACTTGATTGAATCTAATGTTACTGAAATTAACAGAGTGAGGCCAAGGAGACGTTCACGTTCACCGGATATTGAGCTTTCATCTGATCAGAATGATGGTCCGATTTCAAAGAGGAGAAATGTTGACCTAATTAACAGCTTAGCTACAGCCAACTTGGATAGCCAAAGTATCGTGGAGAGATGTTTAGCGTCTAGTTGTTTTGCCTGAAGAAAATCTAATACTTACACTACAACATTATGCATCTACAACTACGAATTCTTTGCTACAAATAAAAAAATCGTGGCTAGTACCTAGCAATAGCCATAAAAATTGAAATTTCGTGGCTGTTCACAATTTGGTGAAATTTCTTAGCTACAAAAAGTAAATTGGCAAAGCTAATTCCTCCTTTTTTCCTATAGTTGGTTAGTATCGTGACAATAACTGCGAAAATAGCTACACATTTACGGCTACATCATAAATTTGTAGCTAATTGTTAGTTTTTGCCACGTATTTAAATTATTGTAGCAATAAAAAAATTTTAGCCACAATAAATAATATCAAATAAAATATCGAATATTTTGCTTCAAGTTGTAAAAATCGTGGCAATAATTGACTCAATAGCTACGACGAATATCATGGCAAACTAATATAGCCACGAATTTATATTGCTACAATATTAATTGTAGCTAATTCTAAGTTTTGCTTTGCAGTTGAAGTCACTGTAGCAATTGTAATCTTGTAGCCACGATACATTTGTTTGCACATAATTCTATAGCTAAAGATGTAGTTTTGCTTCAATTTTCAAAAATCGTAGCAACTGTTAGGACATATATGCTCAGGATTTAAGGCACTAAGGGCACATTCATCCATGAAGCCACTTTGTCAGCTTGAATTTTTTAACGACCCGACTGGTCGTTTTGAGTATCTGCACTTCGCTCGGTATTTTGAGGGCTCGAGTATCTTTGACTTGCATAAATAGTCGGTATTGGTTTT